TTACAGATTTTGGTGTCGAAGTCCTGTTTTTAAGTGGGGAGGACAGACAGTTCTTCAGGCACTTTCAGAATCTGAAAATGGTATTAAAGAAAGCAAATTTCTTTAACAATTTCAGGCTATATGCAGGTAGGATGGCTATACTGACCCGAGAAAGACCTCTGGAAACTTCTCATTGAGCTCTTTCCATTCTCTTCTAGAGAGTCCCAGAAGTATTTGACGATCATCTACCATTTATTACTTACCTCTTTGTTCTTTTCCAGGTCATTTATCACTCAGTATTAGCCCCAAGGAACCTCACCAGCAGGTTTAAAATTGATCTTTCTTTCCTAATCCTAGTTTTCTGTCTATTACATGGGCCCATTCCTTAACACAGCTACCACTCACTCATCATGACTGTACCGTTTCCATAAGAGTCTCTAGTGGTGAACTTCATAAAAGTTTAATTAAATTCTACTCTTTCTTTATCAGTCACACCCCTCCCCTTTTTCAGTAACATGTACCAAGAACTCTACTAGACCTGGGATGGCTTCTGAGGGCAAGTTATGCCAGTTTACTCCCTTGGGTTTTCTACCAATTTTAAATACCAGTTCTAGAAGTCTGATTATGTTTAACACTTCCTTCAAGAGCCCTGATCAAGAAATGAATATTGTCTGGTGCAGGACTTCAAATCATGGACTCATAGAATGGTTTGGGTTGGAAGGGACCTTAAAGCTCCTCCAGCTCCAACCCCTGCCACAGGCAGGGACACCTTCCACTAAAGCAGCTTGCTCCAAGCCCCTGTGTCCAACCTGGCCTTGAACACTGCCAGGGATGGGGCAGCCACAGCTTCTCTGGGCACCCTGTGCCAGCCCCTCAGCACCCTCACAGGGAAGAGCTTCTGCCTAAGAGCTCATCTCAGTCTCCCCTCGGGCAGGTTAAAGCCATTCCCCTTGGCCTGTCCCTACATCCCTTGTCCCAAGCCCCTCTCCAGCTTTCCTGCAGCCCCTTTAGGCACTGGAGCTGCTCTCAGGTCTCCCCTTCAGGAGCCTTCTCTTCTCCAGGCTGCCCCAGCCCAGCTCTCTCAGCCTGGCTCCAGAGCAGAGCTGCTCCAGCCCTCGCAGCATCTCCATGGCCACCCCTGGACTTGCTCCAACAGCTCCATGTCTTTCCTGTACTAAGGACTTGCTCCCTCATAACTTTCCAGGTCCCAAGAAAAGGAGCAGACTCATTTCTCATTGTGCCTGTCTATGATGTGAGTATCTGCAGGTCTTATTGAAACAGCAGAGGAGTGGCAGAGCTGTATATGAGGCAGTGTTTAGCACTCAGTTTCTAGCAAGAAATCGTGTTTTATGCATGTCATCACAGAAAAGCTTCTGACTCCAGACTGCATAAGTCAAACTCATGCTGAAGCAGCTCAATGCATCCTATGTACAATACCTACAACCCCAGCTGAGGCGTGGTGAAGATAGCTCACAGGCCACCTCCAGCCTAATAGCAAGCAGATGCAAGTCCGTTGGGACCCAAAGCATCACAGCCATTTGCCTTCGGTCTGGTTTTCCAGCAGAACAGGGTCATGCTTGCTTCATTCATCTCTCTTGGGTTTCATCCATGTAGTAAAACATGGAAAGAAAAAGCCCACCAAGGCACTGAAGTGGGATGCAGGAGGACTTCGGTACATCCCATGCCCGAAGTACAAGCTGCCTTTGTGACCTTGGGAAGTCATTAAGTTTATGTAGTTTCCCCATCAGTGTTACAGCAGTGCTGTTTCCTTATTGCACAGCGTCGTTAACAGCACTTAATGGCTGTACATAAACAGCACAGGGAGGAGAGACTGAAGGAGGGTGAAGATGGAAGACAAAGACCTATACAAAATTGTCTTTTCCTCCTAAACTACCATCTCACAAGAGGTAAAGCTGTCAAGAGAGGTGGCCACATCAGCTATTTCTGCAATTCATTCTCCCAGCCTTTTCATTTAAACCATGGGGAGAGGTTTCTCATTCCCAGTATTCTCCAGTGTGTGTTTTATAGCCCCAGTGGGAGGCTGGTGGCCTTAGTGCTGGGATGTGTGACAGCCATGTGGCAAGCATCATTTGTTTATCTTACTGGACTTATGTTGGGTCTGGAGGGGGTCAGGTTCCTGCACCAAGTTCTCAGCTCTGGAGCATTTGATGTCCTTCCAGGTCTCCCCAAAGCCCGAGTTCAGGGAGGTCTCTGTCTTGAGAGCTCATCTGTTAAGGCAGGAAGCAGGATTAATTAGGCTGCCTTGTTTGCAAGCAAGCTGAGGCTCTTTGTGGTGAATGTGCTCCATAATCCTCTCTTGAGGTCCTGCATGCAACCAAACACATTTGGCTACCCCTAGTGGTTCATTAATGGAGTTTGTAATGAAACACTTGGAAAGAGAGCAATAAAGTATGATCCCATAAAGAGAGGTATTGCAAAGAATGAGAAAAAGGGATTCGACCCCAACGCAAGCTGTTGATCAGACCTTTGAAGGTGATGAGGAACGCAAGCTAAGCCCCAGGCATTGGGTAATGGTTCCTCTAATTTCCTTTGTATTTAAGCAGTGTTTGGAAGTGGAGAGTATGAGCCCCCAGTGCACTGTGGATACACATAGAGAGAGATAATCTCTAAATGGAAAAGACATGCTATCAGAGAAAAACGGAGGAAGAGATTTGCTTGCTCTCATCTTTTGTTTCTGCCTTAGATCAGGCAATAAGCTGAGGTCTCTGGAGTCAGCAACCCACTCCATCTTATGGCCTCTGGCTAGACAGAGGGGTGCAATTGCGTTCCCTCATCACCTCCAAAGAGCTACAAGGGAATCTATAGACCGGCTTTCCAACCAAAGCCCAGCTCTGGTTCCTTGGAAATCTCTTGTGGGGTGTTTCCAACCTCTTCAACACACTCCCAGGTCTCATGAGCTGCTGCAATCCCTGCTGCGCATAGGGGAGAAGTGATGTCAGGATGTAGGAAGGCCAGACAAGGAAAATTTACTTCTGGAGGGTTATGGCATGTGTTTTTCCCTGTGGGACCACTGCAGCACAGTGATGCTCAGACAACATCTGGGTATTCAGGCAGCTCTGACTGAGGGAAGTGTTTCACGAGATAGGTCTGTGTTTGAGGCAGAAAGAATAAAATAGGACGGTATCAGTTTGGGGGGTTGCTAGTTTTCTACTTAGATTATGGCCATGATATTAACATCAAATCTAGGAAATCATAGTGGAAATCCAAATCTGGGAAATCCAAAGTGGAGACTAGTGGAAAGAGGAGCAAAAGCCAGAGAGAAATCACATCGCTGGCACTGAATTACAGCCCCGACTCTCACCAAACCCTGCTTAGTAGATTGATGCTTGCTGCCTGGTATTGCAATGGTTAAGAAATAAAGCTAAATACAAGCTGCTGCACTAAGAGCTGTAGTAGGCAATGGCTGTCACAGGGTCAGCCCTCATCTGGATGCATCCACAACTCACCAGAGGACCCAATACGTTCTAACTGTACTCAAAAATCACTGTCAGACCACAGCAAATGTCCTGAGTGAAAGATTCATGGCAGAGGTCAAAAATCTGGAGAAACAACAGGTCAGACCAGAGCCAAATTACACAGAATTTGGAATAGCAATGAAAGATGTGGGAGTCAGAACGAAAAGACTCAGAAGAACTTACCAACTGTCATGTTTTCCTCTGGACTGTGCATGTAAAAATTGGAAAGAAGGGGGTTTCTTCACCTGCTATTTCTACAAATAGCAGGTAAAGTGCCCCAGAGACAGTGAATGAAGTTACCCTGAGCATCAAGGAACAACGTCTTTGACATGCCCTCTGAAGCTGTCTCCATTAGTTGCAACTAGTCAAGGGTGCTCCTGACCACAGCTGGCTACCTGAGGTTGGGTAAAATGAGGTCCAAAATCTATGGATTGAAATATCAGCAGATTAAGAGGCTAGAGGAGGAGTGGAGGTAAAGCAGAAGAGGTGGAAGTGAGCACTGAGTGGTTGGAGGAGATGGAGGGCCTGAGTGGGATGATATGGTAGAAGCCAAATGATGGGGCTGGAGAGTGAAGGAGGCAGGAAGCAAAGCTCCTTTAGTGAATTCTTGGATAAAGAGGACAGCAATTCTTCACAACCATCCCCAGCTGTCCAAACCTCTGAATTGTCAACCCTCATGCTGAGCTCTATCAAGTTCTATTGAACTTGGTAGAGTTCTCTTTAGAGCTCTAGCAAGAGCTAAGACCATAGGAAAAGTGAATTCCTGCCTATGTAAAAGTGCAGAGCAGACATAAAGTTCACCAGATATCATCAGGATACACAAAAAGCCATGGAAAAGAAGACAGAGAGACACTACTAGCTGGGAATAGAGAGATGAGGAGCCCCATGGGAGAGACGGCTCAGACACAAATGCAGCTGGATCACAGCAACCAGATTTTTGTGAGCAGATGCACTCCCAAGAACGCACCAGAACGCTAGAGGTGCCTCATACTGGCCAAATGTGATCAAGGATATCTGGGGTCTGGTGAGCAGATGTTAGACAGGCAAGGAAATGCTGGCCAAGCAACAAACAGAGACAAGGAAAATATACAGCATCCCCAGCAGGTTTTGGAACAAACTAGGAAAGGACCTTTTCATCACAAACCACACAAACTACCTCATTGTTACAGACAACAGTTCAGACCAAGGGGAACTGTCAGAGGAAATGCAATAAAGCAAAGAGGCATTTCAGAAGGCACCTTGTTTGACTTGCAGTAACTTTGCACGATTTACCCAGGAAGAGAAATGCTGTCGCAGCATGTCGCCCTCTGACCGTGACCAAACAGCAAAGCTGAAACAGCAGTTTTTATTTGCTAAAACCATAATGAAGGAAGCAAAGGCGATGCCTGGTGAGTCTTTCTTTAGGGGAGAAATCCTCTCATTGAAGACCAGCATGATGCTCCAATTCAAGCACCAAAATCCAAACACTTGCACAGCATGAAAGAACCAAGAGGAGTGGAAAATAAGACAAGATGAGAAAGAAGACAGCCAAACACCAGACCTTACCTTTCTCACAAGCTGGAGAACTTCTAGGATGCCTTTCTGGGGTGTTTTCCAGAACCAGACTGTTTTCTTGGAACAAAACACGAATGTGTAAGAGAGCTCCATGTACCGAGAAGTAAAGGGTGTATAAGAGAAAACAGTTCTTTGAATCCACAAGTATGTTTGCCCATTGCACATACGAGCTACAGATGCAGATATAAGAGATTACAGATCTGCTGAGACTTGACCGGAGGGACAGAGAATGAACATGGGCCATGAGCTTGCAGCAGATACAGAAATATATGCAAAATATCACGTACCCCCAGAAGAAATACATCCTGGAGAGTTTCCTGTTCTTAAAACAAAGGTCAGCCCCAGTTCATTGTACAACATACTTGAGAGTTAGGAAATACTCAAGGTCTTTGCATCAAGGGGTAACATCTCTCCTACAGCCCACTGATAGACCTTATCTCTGTCTTTTCTTACACTGTGGGCCAGGTATAGGCCCTACATTACCTATATGTACCATAGCAAAGCTATAGATGAGACAGAGAAACCTGTCTGAACTCAACATTTGGTCTTGGAATTCTGAAAAACCAAGAAATATTTGTCTGATCTTCCTCCAAAAGGTGTTGTGACAAGGTGCTAAGCATGGTGCATGAATGGTGAATAACAGATACATTATTATATATATAAACAGATATATTAAAGGGGCATGGTGGACTGTGAAACATGATCAGAGATTTATTGCTATTACTACTTGTATTTGCAATTTTCCTCTTTGAGAAAAGGAAAAGAAAAAAGACATGGAAAAGAGGACTTTACCAAAGGTAGCATCTGCCCAAGGGAAGGTAATGTGATAGCACGGTTATACTTAAAGCAGTTTTGGGAATGGAGGGACCCCTAATTGTGGGAAACAGTCAATAGGGGAGGGCTGCAATGGGAAAGGAAGGAATCAGGTTTGAGCCTTGAAACCTCTTGTTTACGCTTGAACTCTGTCATCTGGTACAGCAGATTTGCTGGAGGGCAAGTGAAGAAGGTTATGGCACAAAAGCAGAGGGAAAATGTAAGGGCTGGGAGTAATTTCTTGCTGGTGTTTTAAGATTGACGAGATTCGACAGATTCCTTCCCTGAGTTTCTTTATGCCAAGTGCAGGTTTTTGGAGGTTGGTGAAGAGAAACAGTCCAACTATCTGTCTGGTTTTTGTTACTAGAAAATGCATCTGTCTGCCTGACTGTCAATCACAGCCTTTATATCTAAACATTATTTCCTTATCCAGTCAGAGGACGGGGTGCACCACGAAAGGGATCATCTGCAAAGCACCAAAAGCTCTCACGGAACTGAAAAACAATCCTTTTCCCTTCCTATCTGTCAGGCTGATGGACCAGAAAGGGTATCAAAACCATCACGCCTGGCTTTGTGTGTTGAAGAGTAAAGTAAAACACATTTGGGGCTCACCTGTTGAGGAATTCAGATGCAAGTTTCCCTCCAAGACATCTAATTTTCACAAGCACCCAACTCCAGTGTGGGGAGGAGGACTGAAGAAACTCCTGCTGTTCCTCAGCATGAGGATTGCAAGGCTGAGATGGGGTACATTAATAAAGACCGTGTCCTGTAAATCCTCCTCCGTAGTACTGTGTGAACTGTACCAGGAAAGCAAAGAGGCTAAGGGATGCAAAACCTCAGAGTTAGGATTTTACATGCTCATTTGAGACACTTTGATTTTCACAAGGTGCAAAGTGGAAGTTTTGACCTCCGGAACTTGCTGCACACTAAACCAGCAGCATTTTTGTTTCTCCAGTTTGCCCCTGTCTCATTCACCTAAAGCCACATAATTCATCAACCCTGAACCTAAAACCAGTCTTCTGAAAATGTCCTTCTTGCTTCAGACAGGCAGATATACCCAAAGGCATCAAGCACTGATGAAGCCCTGGTCATGCAGCAGATAGAGCTGCAAAGCCTGGTTTGACTTCAATGAAATAAGGACCAAAACTGTTTCCAATCTGTTAGCCATTCACTGATTTTGGGTAAAATGATGTCCTTTAAATTCCACCTTGTCAGTTGTTCTTGGTCTCTTTGTTCTCTTGACCTGAAAGATTATCCTGCTTTTATTTGAAGAGAACCCATAACTGCAGTATGGAAAAAGGAAGGAGGGTGAGAACAGGACCCGTCCCACAACCAACATGGTGCTGGCGTTGTGCATCTGCTGCCATGACTCTCTTCACTTGAATGCTCATGTGGGGCTCTGCAGTCCCTGTCCCTTCATTTCCAAACAAGTCCTCGCTTGTCTATGGCTCTTGGTGCAAGCATTACCCGTAACCATATTAGGACCAAGGGCCAGGGTGAAGCTAGCAATAACACAGCTGAGTGATGACACCCTGTCTTCTGTGACTAAGGCTCCTTCCCCTGTTTCAGATAATGATGGTGGGGTTTTATTTATGAATAAGCAGATTTCCAGGGGATGAGAAGCAATGAAATCAGCCCAAGCTCATCCTTCTGGGGATGCAGGAATTCACATTAAATGGGATCCATCCCATGACTGCTAGTGTAAATTAAGCAGTTTCTGGTTTAAGTGCCTAGGGATGTGCATGCTTGTCAGATACTAATAGTTCTGAGTAAGTGACGACCCTTGTGTGACTTGGGTAAGCCCTGTCCAAACCCTTACATGTTTCAGCTTCATTTAAGCCTTGATCTGACATCCACTGATTGGAACAGTCTTCCTGGCAGACTAAATATTTGCAGATTCCCTTTCCCTGGTGGTGTAGGCAAAGTGCTGGAGTCTCGGCACTGACATCCTCCTGGCGCTGCATCCTGGGTACCGTCCCCAGCAAAGGCGATATTGGATGTGGACATTATCTGGATCTGATTAGCATCAGATCTTCTGGCATCTGTCCCAGTCTTCCTCGCCATCTATTTTATATTCTCCCTCTTTCCATTATCCTTACAGTCAAATAAAAGGAATATTTTTTACTAGCGTAGGTTTTGAGGGAGGCAGCACATTGGGAGTCACTTAAAAGATTGAAGGCAACGCTGAGCTTGTTAAGTTTCTCAGTACTAGTTCTTTTCCTAGAGGGAGGTTATTGTGACTTAATTGTGGCAAAGACTCCAGGGTAACATCATTCCCAGCCACAGTTACGGGTTGAGGTGGTCAGCACCATGGGAAGGTGCTGCTGGAATGACACAGATGTAGTTAGACTCAAAAGAATTGCTTTATTCCCTTTAAAGATTTTGCTGCCTCAGCTTCCTGGATGAAAACCAGAATTATTCCATCCTTTTTTTTTCCACCCTTTCATCTGCACTTCTTGCTGCATGTCTATGAGTTTTCCCCCATATAATAATGTAGGAAAGGCTGCACTGGGTTAGACTCTCTCCTACCTCTAAGAAGATTCAGAAGCTCAGGAAAGTATGATCGAGCCTGGATACAGCAAGACCTATTTTGGTTCTTCCTCCATTTTGTTCCAGACATTTATTTTCCATCCTCCTTTAGTTGCTGGCAGTTTTACTGAGGCAGTAGACTCAACATCAAAGGGAGTGTAAGTGCTGGTCTCTGCTCTTAGAAAGGTAATGGAGGATACACTTGGAGTACTCTGCACCGTTCTGGTGTCCTTAGCATAAGAAGGACATGGAGCTGTTGGAACAAGTCCAGAGGAGGCCACGAGGATGCTCAGGGGCTGGAGCAGCTCTGCTCTGGAGCCAGGCTGAGAACATTGGGGCTGTTGAGCCTGGAGAAGAGAAGCTGCGTGGAGACCTCAGAGCAGTTTCCAGTGTCTGAAGGGGGCTGCAAGGATGCTGGGGAGGGGCTCTTCATCAGGGACTGGAGTGATAGGACAAGGGGTGATGGGTTCAAACTGAAATGGGAAGTTCAGGTTGGAGATAATAAGGCAGAAGTTCTTTCCTGTGAGGGTGCTGAGGCGCTGGCAGTGCCCAGAGAAGCTGTGGCTGCCCCATCCCTGGCAGTGTTCAAGGCCAGGTTGGACACAGGGGCTTGGAGCAAGCTGCTCTAGTGGAAGGGGTCCCTGCTTCTGGCAGGGGTTGGAGCTGGAGGAGCTTTAAGGTCCCTTCCAATCCAAACCAGTCTGGGATTCTATGATACCAAAGGAAGTTTCACATAGCAGTGAGTCAAGGCAGTTGCTTTCTGCCCCTTTCAAGCCAGACACACAGCACAGATTATTCCTTTTCTCCACCAATGCAGAATTGTGTCTGAACTATTTCACAGGTTGCTGGGGGCAAAGTGCAAACACACAATAGCACTGACAATCCAAGATGCGGTGTGAGATGGCTTCATCTCCATTTTCTCTATCAGGTTAGGAAGTCCACAAGTGATTCCTGGCATTTCCCTATTCAGAGCCATTGAGGGTGGCAGAAACCATCAAACCCCTCATTTGATCTCCCATGTAGCACAGCACAGGCACTTTCACCTCGAAGCTGGACTGAGCCCAGTGACCTGGATTTGTTTAAAGTATCTTTTCCTAAAGGCACCCTAGCGATTGGCCAACCCTTCAACCACTCCTTGATAGCTCGCCCCAGGCTGTCAACCTCCCCCTTCAATTTACAAGGCTCACTTGCTCATAACCAATGCTTTTTTGGCTTCAGCTCCCTGCTGTTGGCTCTTGCTATTTTCTTCTCTGAGTAGAGCCCTTCATTATTGCCTTGTGTCAAGCTAATATGATTGTAGCTTTTGCTGGAAGTGTGGACAGTTTTCTCCTCTGAACTTACAGCAGCTCTTACTCTGTCTCTATGCTCAATTAACAGAGCTCTTGGTAACCAGCAACAGGGGTAGGCTTGAACCAGCACAGCCCAGGGTTTGGCAGAAGAGACCTCTTTTCCCAGTGCTATTGCCCAGCAATGAAACCACACTCAGGTTTCTTTCTCGAGAGGCAATAGCACAAATTCAGGATGCCTTCTCAGGAATGTATTTCAACGTGTACCTAAGAAGGACTCTAAGGAGGGGTTGGAACTGGATGATCTTAAGGTCCTTTGCAGCCCAAACCGTTCTGTGATTCTATGATTCCATGATTTTACCAAACAATAGATACTTAAACAAGTCTTTAAGTACTCTTTCCGAAGGCAGTGGGATTGGGGCAGTCTAAATCCCCATTGTATCCCAGTAATGCTATAAAGAACGCATGGCGGTGGGGGAAGACAACCCAGTGCCTCTCTGCAGTGAGGTCCCACTTCATCAGCTCACTCTGTGCTTCAGTAGTGTCCCAAACCCCCTCACAGTTAGT